CCCCAGCCAGGGGGACCCCGGCCCGCTGCCCCACAGCAGCGCTGGTTTCAGTCCGCGGTTCTGCCCCCACGTGGCCTCTGGGGCACCTCTGGCCCCCACCCTGGTTCCCGTGTGCCAAGGGAGAACCTTAGAGAAAGAAACGGCGCCAGGTGTCCTCGGCCTCCGCGGGCCGGACGTCCGTCTCAGGAGCTCACCAGCTCGGCCGGGCCCCAGCCTGGCCAGCAGGGACCCCAGGGCTCAGCGGACGCCCCGGCGCCACAGTCCCTCAGCAGAGCATCTCAGGAGCTCTGCCTGCGCTGCCCACACCGTCTCCGGGGCGTCTTCTCGCCCCTGCATGACTTGCACCCCCATTCTCACGTGCAAAAACACCCATGTGAAACAAACAACCCCCACAGAAACGCCCTCCATGACCTGAGCCCGGGAAACCTGAGGGGCGCCCCGCCATCCCGAGGCGGCCACCCCAGTGCACTGAAGACCCGCTGCCGGGGCCCTGAGCCCCACTTCTTGTGCCCCGGCTCCCCAGGGTGGGCAGGACGGGGCGTCCAGCAGCGAGTGCTGGGCCTGGCCCCGGGGAGGCGCCCTCATCTGGGGGGGCGAAGGGGCCCTCGGGCCAGCAGGCAGCCCCTGGGGGGCTGTGTCCACAGCTCCACAGTGGGGCGAGCCGTCCTGGGGACCCACAGGCGCCCTAGGACCCGCAGGGCAGGGAGCCAGGCCAGGAGCGGCCGCAGAGGCACAACGGCCAAGCGCTCGCTGGCCCTCGGGCTTGCCCGCCCCGCCCCAGGGCCGGCCAAGCCATGCCAAGCCCCGCCCGCTGCGCCCCCTGCCCGCACCTACCTGTGACCCCCCCTTACCCATGGCCGTACCCACCAGGGCCCCCCGTACCCGTGGCCGGCCCCGTCCGTGGCCGCCCCGTGACCCCGTACCCGTGGCTGGCCTTCCGGTGCCTGCTGATCTCCTTCTCCCCCTCGATGATCCACTGCAGGATCTTCTGGTTCCGCTCCACGTCCTCCAAGGGGCCTGGAGCCTCGGTGCTGGTGCCGCGCCCCGACTCGCCCTTCCTGCCGCTCCTCTTGGAGGGGACACCCGCCTTCCCGCTGCGACAAGACCCAGCCGCTGGTGCCGGCCCGCCCAGCGGGACAGGAGCGTGCCCCGGCC